ATCCCTCTCAGGATCTGCTACATAGATTCCGCTCCGAGTGGTTGACAATGGTAGCTGGGCACCATCTAGTTCTTCTGGTCTCATAGTCATATAGGCTGTGGATCACATGGTGTACCAGTTGCTAGGACTAATTGTTTCCATGAATCTTTGGTTTTCCTTCATTCTTCTTTACTCTGGATGAGGAGAAACCCATCATTGCATCTAGATGGCTGCTTGCAAGCTTTTAAGATCCCAGTTGCTACTCACCAAAGTAGGATGTGGAACAATGTTTTGGGTAGTATGTTATGCCAACTGAGCTTGATGTCCCCTATTACTATGGTCTCGAGCCCACAGGTTCAACTACTCACTCCCTTTGGGTCACTGGCTGTGACAAGAAGTGACTACAACCTTGTCCCTTGTCAGCTCTACTATACCCATGAGACAGAACATACCAATACGCTTATAGAACCATAGTTTGCCAACCCTATACATGGTCTTGTGTACACTTCCCACTGCACAGATATCTAATAGTTCAGTCTGTTCACCCATCTACCCACCCGTATACCCATGTTTGCCTTCACTGACAAATGAAGTTTTATTGGAGTAAGCCATGATCATTCGTTTAGGTATTGTCTGGCTGCTTTTGCACTATAATGATAGAGTTGAGTATTACATCAGAGACCATATGTCATGCCAAACCTAAAATATTTACCATGTTAGTTTGCTGATCTTTGCATGAGAGGGAGTTGTTAAAAGTAAAGATTTTGGAGTCAGATACAACTGTAGTCAAGACTCAGTTTCTTCACTTGTTAATGAGTGACCATTTAATGAAAAAAGGTCAACTCAGAGGTCTTAAGTGATTGTTGCCTTTTATCAAGAAGTGAGAATAAATAGAGGTTTTTATGATTCTTTTACTTGGCACTGTAATAATGGACTATAGGAGCTCTGGTGGCATAGTGCCTAAGGCATTTGACTGCTAACCAGAAGGCCGGTGGTTCAAACCCACCAGCCACTCCTCAGAACGAAGTTTGGGCAATCTACTTCTGTAGTGATACTGCCTCAGAAACTCAAAGAGGGATCGCTATGAGTCGGATTTGACTCGATAGCAGTGAATTTGGTTTTGTTTTGTTTTTTTTTTTTTTGTAATAATGGACTATATACTCACTGCCGTGGAGTCAATTCCGACTCATAATGACCCTCTTTGGGTTTCCAAGGTGGTAAATCTTTACAGAAGTAAATCTTCCAGTTTGCCTTCAGAGGAGTGGCTGTTGGGTTTGAACCACCAGCCTTCTGGTTAGCAATCAAATGCCTTAGGCACTATGCCACCAGAGCTCTTTAATGGAATATATAAGAATATAACATAACATATACTAAAGTAAGTGTATTAAAAAAAAGTAAAACATAAAACAAATATTAATAGGAGACTTCAGAAATATAGTGACTGCTTAATTGAATTTTCCCTTTGTAAAAATATGAAACAAATGAAACCAAAAAGCAAGAGATAACTTGAAACCTGAATCCCTTGCAAAGAAAATCTTAAATTTTTATTGAAATTAAACTGAGCCCTTAATGCCAGAAAACCTGTCAAGGTGGGTTTTATTCCTATTCTTAGTATAAAAAATAGGATTTTGTCAGATTCCCCCTTTTGATCAGGATTCCACTCTAGAATCTTTGATCAAAAACAAGTATACAAATTCTAAGTTTGGCTACTTATAATAACCCACATGCTTCAGCACTGTGCTTCTTTGGTTTCATAGTTGCCATTATGGAACTAAATGTTCCTATCATACATAACATTTGTTTCCTAAATGAACTTCTATTCAATGCTATGAAAAGAAATATCATTTCTCATTGTGACACATACCATTTGTAATCCTTTTCAAAGTTAGATGAATTTATAAAAATTTTTAACCTTTACAGCTGACAAATTTTGCATTCACTTTATTGGAATTACCGCCTCCCCTTCTTGACTCCTAGTACTAACTAACTTTTCAATCATCAACTTTTATTCACAGTACATGCAGTTTATAGCCAGGTAAGAACTAGACAGACTTGAGTTTCTCTCCTCACATTAAGGTTTCTGATTCTAGGAATGTGGTATTAAAACCAAGACAGCTAGTTAGCTTCCCTGAAACATTCTGTTTCCATTCCCCCAGGGAAGGTAAAGATCAAACAGCTTAAAGAGACTTTTAATTAGACTGGAGCTTTTTAAGGCAGCAGTGACTCAGTCTGCCACTAGGAAATGGTAAACAAAGAGGAGCTGAGCAAGGAAGGAGGATAGAAAAACTGGATGACTTTTATGTGTTTTCTAAGTTTATGGTTTAGTTGTGCATTTCAAGTATTTTGAATTCTCAGCTCAGCAGATATTTCCTTGCATATTCCAAAGCCCCATAAAAAGGATTTTTGCATTATCCACTGTTTTGAATTATTTGCCCTATGGCTGGTGGTGTCATGCCTAAAGCATTTGACTGCTAACCAGAAGACTGGTGGTTCAAACCCAACAGCCACTCCTCAGAAGGAAGGAAGGAAGACTAGGCAATCTACTTCTGTAGAGATACCTCCTTGGAAACCCAAGGAAGGGTCACTATTAGTTCAAACCAACTCATCAGCAATGAGTTTGGTTTGTTTTTTTGATAGCAAAATTTGAGCAGAATTTTAGAGAACTTTTTTTTTCCAGTCATCCCACTTCAAGGGTTTATCCTACATGGGCCCACTCATGGTTTTATGGATGGGCCCTTGTGTGCATTTGCAATGCTTAACTTTTGTGTGTATTTGGAGTGATGATGCTATATCTCCTCAGAGAGAATATTACCTAATACTGACTGGCAGACTGTATTTGGTAACTGGAAATGGAGTTGTAAAGTGTGCCTACTTTATCACTTCTCTTTCTGTTTTACTTTAGGAGGGAGGATTTTCCAGTCCTTTTAGAAAAATCACATGGCTGATTAGGAAGCTACTGTATTAGATGTTAATAGTGTGCTATATATACAATCAAAGACATTCATTTTAGATACAAGAGTAGTCGTCTTAGAGTTAAACTTCTCTATTTGGAATTAACAATATTTATTTCAAAATATTTCTTAGGATTAATGCTACTTTCTTAAATTGTAGAGAATTTTTTCTCAGAAGAAACTGTTTCTGTTCTTTTTCTCAGGAAAATTACATGACATCTCTATTGCTTTATGAGTAATCAGACATGCAAATAGCCCCCTCAGAAATCAAGCTAAATTTAAAGAAGATTTACTTAGAAACTTTGAAGAGGGTATCATGGAGCACAAGATTGAGGAAAAAGAAAAATGCCAACATAGCTTGAATTTACTGAATAAAATTAAGAACATGAAAGAATTAGCAGAAATGATTGATGTAGTTCTCATAGCAGAAGAGGAGACATTTCCTTGCCACAGACTGGTACTGGCTGCATTTAGTCCTTATTTCAAAGCTATGTTCACCTGTGGACTTCTTGAATGCACTCAAAAGGAAGTCCTACTCCACGACATCACAGCAGAAAGTGTATCAGTGATATTAAATTACATGTACAGTGCAACCTTGGAGATCAACAATGCCAATGTACAGACTGTAGCTATGGCTGCCTATTTTATGCAGATGGAAGAAGTTTTTAGTGTGTGTCAGAAATACATGATGGACCACATGGATGCTTCCAATTGTGTAGGTATCTATTATTTTGCAAAGCAAATTGGAGCTGAAGACTTATCTGATCAATCAAAGAAATATTTATATCAGCACTTTGCAGAGGTGAGCTTACATGAAGAAATACTAGAAATTGAAGTGCACCAATTACTGAAGCTTATTAAATCAGATGATCTTAACATATCTAGAGAGGAGAGCATTCTGGACTTAGTTCTGAGATGGGTACATCATAACCAAGAATTGCGTAGAGAACATCTTGTTGAACTTTTGAAGCAAGTCAGATTGGAACTTATAAATCCTTCTTTTTTAAGACAAGCCCTAAAAAGGAACACAATGATTCTGTGTGATGCAGGTTGCATTGACATAATTCAGAATGCGTTCAAAGCCATCAAGACACCCCAACAGCATTCTTTAAATCTTCGTTATGGCATGGAGACTACCAGTCTTCTGCTTTGTATTGGCAACAACTCTTCAGGAATCAGGTCAAGACATAGGAACTATGGGGATGCCAGTTTTTGTTATGATCCTGTGTCACAGAAGATCTATTTCATCTCCTCTCCAAAGTATGGGGAGGGTTTAGGATCCGTGTGTACTGGTGTTGTCATGGAAAACAACACTATAATTGTGGCTGGAGAAGCAAGTGCCTCTAAACTCTCTAGACAAAAGAACAAGAATGTTGAAATCTATAGGTTTGTATCTGGCAGCAAATTTGTAAATTTATTTTTATTGGTATCCTTTGACATTAGCGATAGTATGAGAAAGTTCTGAATGAATGGCCACATCCTTTTTTTTTTTTTTTAATGATTTTAAAAGATTTATATAACTTGTTGTTGTTGTTGTTGTTGTTATTCTTAGGTGCCATCGAGTCATCTCTGACTCATAGCAACCTTATGTACAACAGAATGAAACACTGCCTGGTCCTGCACCAACCTCACAATCCTTGTTATAACTGAGCCCATCATTGCAGCTACTGTGTCAGTCCATCTCCTTAAAAGCCTTCCCTTTTTTCACCGACTCTCCACTTTACTAAGCATGATATCCTTCTCCAGGGAATGGTTCCTTCCGACAACATGACCAAAGTAGGTGAGATGAGCTGGCCATTCTTGTTTCCAAGGGACATTCCAGCTGCACTTCTTCCAGGACAGGTTTGTTAGTTCTTTTGGCAGTCCCTGGTACTTTCAGTATTCTTCACCAACACCATAACTCAAAAACATCAACTCTTCAGTCTTCTTTATTCACTTTCCAGCTTTCACATGCATATGAGGCTATTGAAAATACCATGCCTTGGGTTAGATGCACCTTAG